ATGTATTTGTAATATGTATCAATAATTTACAGCGCGATAGCTAATTACTGTTACTGAAATCAAACGCAATATCGCGTTCACTTTAATTGAAAAAAGATTTGAAGGGAAAGTCGTAATTCAACTTAATTGATACAATTGGTTGATGATACGTACATGTGATACGCTTAGAGCATATAACAAGTACGTAACTCATTACTGTTCTTGGTAATGCATTGTCTTCTTAAAAGTACGATGTATCGACAAGTTAAAAGTTCAGATTTTTCTGAATAATAGAAACTTGATATAGAAATTAATTACCTAATTTTTTACCCTTTGATTATACCATTATTATTTTATTATTTGTTATCGACATAAACAGAACCCTATTAATAAAAACTCTTCCCCTAGGTCAACATCTTTCATTCTCTAGCTCCAGCTAGACTTTTCTAATTCTCCAGAACCATCAGATGTCCTTTGAAGTACATAATAAATCGTAATATAAACATTAACTACCTTTTCCATGATTTTACTACGAACGACGAAAGACTAGTTCATGTTGATTACCTTCATTTTTAACGACTTCAAAAAAAAGGAGGAGGTTCGACTGTTTTTTTTTTATTTATGTTGCACGATAACTCTTTGTGAACCAATTTTGATGATTCTTTTTTTGTTGGAAAGATTGGTTGGGGAAGAATTTCAGTTTTGGTCCCATTTAAATTTGAAGGAAATATTCCTCCTCTAATGGCGGCAAACTAGAGGATAAATCCGATTTCGCGCACGGCCCGGTAATCGATTTCAATACAACTTAGCAAATAGATTCTACGAACTTTTGAGGTCGGTTTTTTTTATGAAAAAGTTGCATTATTATATTTACATTAAGATTTTGGGCTGTGATTTATCCATATCCCCAGGCTTAGAGATTTAAACGTTACCCTGAACTTCATCTAAACAAATTTTTATAAGTTATGCCCAAACAAAACTCGCTTTGGAGATTTTAACCACTAGTAGTAGAATGGTATTCCATTCTCCACCGGCCTTAGAAAGAACGGAGAGCTGTTAATATCCCATGTGTCACTGTCAGGCATGAACACGAAGTAAGCCATTTTTCAGATATTTATCTTCGATCTGCTTTTGTTAACCAGAGGCCCGAAAACGATAACCCGCGCGTTTAAGATAGATAATCCCGAAAAATATTCTTGAATGAGATACAGTTCGTCAACGGTCTTTGTTTTAACTTTAAATTGGGAGTAGGCGTTTATAACAGAATTTCGTATATTTTGAAGAAATTTCTTTTTACATAAACTCCTACGAGCGCATTTGCGCCTTCCTCAGCTCTTTGTTATAGGTAGATAAAAACCTTGTTGTAAGAATTAAAGTTCGTGTCCACCTAGACTCTATTAAATAGGACAAGGGCGTTCTGTCTGAGTTTCAACCAGAGATATAAGTTTCAACAGCTTATTATTATATCAGAATATATGCTCCGGTTCTCTAATCGTAATTTTCAGGCATAGTTTCTGTGATATGTTTTCAACATCTTTGGGTGACAATGTTGGAAGACTGTTTCAATTTAGCACATGGAATCTGCAGAACAACATAAAGTCAGGTAGGAATCATCTACCTCCTTCGGTATTCGAACTACTCCAACTGGTGTGGTGGAAGTTACCGTCGCCAGTAACCTGCTCCCGGCAGCTGCAGTGATGAATCATATTTCTCACCAGGTAGATAGCAAGTAAGTATATTAGCGTTTGAGATAGAGACAGATTCGAGTTTGAGTTTTACCCATATACACAAACAGTCCATTATTTGTATCATCTAGAATTTGAAAAGAATTTGAAACAAAACATTTTTTTCCCTTTCCCTTCTCGCTAACTACTCTATTACAGAATTTTACTCATTCAGTGTTAAGCAAAATTATTGTCTACGCGCTGTAAGCAAACAATACTACATTCAATCCTACTTGTATTGAATTGAAAACCTGTACCTAGTTTACCGATGCCGATTCAATATTTTAGATTAAACCCTTTGCATCGCGCATTGGTAGGCAAGTGCGCTCTAAATAACAAAGATTTATAGACGGGTGTCATTTTTCCTATAATGGGGGAATGCTTTCGTGTCTCGCAGGATGGATCGTAAAGACTGTGATTTATCGCCAGCCATTCTGCGGCTGGGCGACTATTCGCAGTTTCATGTCCATGGCGCACACGCCGCCATTATTCGCTGTAGGTACATAACGAGAAAATTCTTAAAACCCATCATCATCATAAAACTGCAAAGCAATTTTGAAAGTTAAACTTACATTATACAGTACTTTGATAATATATTGGGTACCGTTTCGATGAATAATCAGCAACAATGCTACGCTGCTTTCGGGTAGGTACCCAAATAACAAAATTATCAAAATGGTTCATCTCTACAGTGTTACAAAATATAATAACTTTCAGACGTAGAAACAGCTACACAGGTTTATTCGAACAAATGAAATATTTAATATTGCATATTAAAAATATAAAAAGCACATAGTACAGTAATGTAAGTATGAAATAAGTAATAAGCTAATAGTACAAGCTAGTAGTAGCGTGATCCGTTTTGCTCTTTCAGGTAGCTTCTTCCTATGATATTTTAACATAAATATTGTAAATAAAAAATTTTAACTATTTCGGTATTTACAAAGAGCAGTCCGCAGCGGCTCACTATGAGTTCTGAACATGTCCCGAAAACCTGGAGGCTTGCCTGGACGCAATCACCTCCATACTCTATAAGACTATGCAGCGTGTATTAAACTGCCGTCTCCATGGTTGCCTTGAAACTAATGATTGACAGCTTGGTTTGCGCCGTAGTGGCCCTTCTGGGACATTCTTGCGTATGCCAGACGCTTATAGTGCGAAACCGTCGGGAAATACGGTGAAACATTCGCCGTGTCTCTGAACATTTCAAAATCTACTATATATCGATAGGGGCTGGATTTTGCGAGAGCTAAGTCAATGCCTGTAGTTGTAGGTGGCTACTCGCCGACTGTTTATGATATTAATGCCGGTGTACGTCAGGGATCTGCCTTCTCTGGTATTTTTGCTGTATACCAACGACCTGCTGATGCCTGGTATCTTTGGGTATGTAGTCGACGGCATAGTTGTAGAGAGTTATGTGTCAAATGCCCGTGCCAACAGTGAATATATCCATTAAATGTTAAGCAATGGTCACATAGTTCAAAATGAGCCTGAAAGCCGATTCGCTAGAGGAGATGCGAACAGAGTGAGGTTTAATTATGTCAAAATACACTCGTGTTTTTATCACCAAAATAGATTCACCTTCGCTTCCCTTCGAGTTTCCGCAATTGGTCCATAAATGAACACCTTAAGCTACTTGGTTTGGATTAATCATCCTGCTGCTATAACGTCATCAGGGTCAGGCAGTATTTCACGACAAAACAGCTTTTAAATCTTTATGAAGCACAAGTGCGTCGCGTTATTTGATTGTGACTGATGCCTTAGTTTAGCTGCCTTGCGCTCTGTGGAGCGAAAAGCAAAGATTAGTGGCTTTGCTTTTTTGGCAATGATTCTCTTGTGTATTCGAAACGTTTATGTCTCCATCACCGCAGAAAGTAACCTGCTTATCGAATTACACACAGGTATGGCAAAGATATGGAATTCTCGAAAGCTACTTTAGTGCTATTCAACTTAGAGTGAATATGCGTTGATTAGACAAACGCGTAGGTACATCATCATTTAATATCAGAGTAGGCGTTCATCTATTTTTACACAAATAGACACAACATTTCTTGGGAGAGTCTGCCATACAAGTGAGTAGTGCTGTTTAATCAATTGGACTATTTCAAGTGTAATTTATCTACTTATGAAATCTACCTACTTATGAAACCTAATTTGAGTGGATGTAGCTGTTAAAACATAGATTTTGATAAGAATTAAGAATGCAAAAATCGTGGTGTAGTTAGTATATGTAAGTTGTGGCAAGAAACCAAAAATATAAACATTATGGGTTTCATATGTGTGTGGGTTTCCTGCTCGAAGTTAAGTAAAAATGGTTAGGTATAGCTAAATTTTTAAGTAGTCAGGTAATAGAATAAGTAAACCTCACCGCGACCGTAACAAACGATAAGCATTTAATATTAAAGTTACGCCTTCTCTAAAAGGCAAAAGGAGCGCATGACTGGACTATCGTCGGATTACCTCTTCATTATCTATTTGCGGTTAATTCAGTTGGCTTTAAATGCTTTTACACTATAGTATTGCATTATGCAAATGAAAGTAAAATTGTCCAGCAGTTTACGTCAGGATGCACCATAATTTTCTACTGCTAATGGCTTTACATCCTCTCGTTGTGACCGTCAGTCTCGTACGATATTTTATTACTCATTTGCTTTAACATACCATTCGATATTGAAATTGTTCAATTGAAATGTCTGAGACGTTTATTCACAAATAGGAAATTGTAGCTAGGAATTTTCTAGCAGTTACGTATCTTTGAAATATGTTTGTAATACGATCAGTGTTTAGATCCAGACTTTTGACTTGTTCATTTTAAATTTGAGAAAGCCGAAGTATCGCAGACATATCCTAAAATTATCGCTACCGTAAAAATATTTTAATGGCGTCGAAGGGAATCAAGGTAACTCTCGCAAAAAACCCGCAGATATATATTTTTACAAGAAAAAAAAGTTGGTCGATCTTAAACGAGCAAGGTGAACAGGTTCGAAGCTCTTTTTAGCCCCGAGGTGGGCCGCGGCCCGGTGCGCTGGCGACGGTCAAAGCCCTAACCGCTCGTAACAAGAGCCTTTTTAACAATACCCGCCTAAATCTATGATCCAGGAAAATCCTAAAGGCATCTAGGTTTTGAACTAAATTATAGCTTATAAAATATGATCTAAAGTTTTGTATTGACAATACAGTTATATATAAACATTGTTTTAACAATAAAAAAAGGCGGGAATCAAATCGGGCATTTTGACTTAAAAAAATAAAGTTAAAATAAAAACAAAATGGGGAAAATTTTAAAAATATACTTACGAAAAGTATACTTCAGAGGTATGGTATAGGCGAAGGCACTGTTATGCTTGCGTGAACACCACCATAATCACTCGCGGAGATGGGGACGCATATGCGCATGAGATCGCGCGGCTTGGAGGCTCGAGTTGGACTGACGGAGCGAATTGCTCGTGTCCATGGTGCGTGACGGGTGCACGTGCGAGATGCGCACTACGCTTCTTCACGCGATCACCGCGACGTAAGCTGCCGTTTGACAAGACCAAACAGTATGTAACTTACAATGCTCTAATGGTTATGGACTTCTCTATAATAACATGATATTTCAGCTGCCGCACAGATATATGAGGCTGTTCGTAGAAGTACATAGAAATATTTGTTGTGTACGCACTAATCTAAATATAAGTAGTAAAGTATATGAGGAAAGTATACAATTCAGTATTAGATGTACTACTAGGTGAGGCGATAAAACAATAAGTTACTCTCGTTTTTTTTCTATTCATAAGTAGTGAAGTAGGTGCTATGTACTATTATTAGCCCTGCTATAATAAATTCTACTCAAGCAGCACGTTATACTTTCCCTAAAATCTAATCTACATTCTATTCAATTTATAGTACATTACATTGCATATAGTTGCATATTATTTACTTAACTACAGGTTTATAAACTTACAACATTATATATTTTAAATTTACATATATAGGTGTGGTAGTATTTTAAAAAGCAAAAATGAAGGGTAGAGTCATTGTCAAAAGACTATAGAACATAAGGAACATATTATTTTAGTTTTGTATATACACTCATAGGTTTATGAAGTGTTGGAACCTGCTTTGACTTCAGTAGTCAAATGTTGCATTATATATAAAGCTATGAAAACATTACTAACATTATATCACGATACAACGCTTATGCATTACGTTCACTTGGCATATTTTTGCAAAAATGTTACGCGTTTCCCTTAAAACTCGGAGCGTTGCTGTTGAACACCGTAATCACTGCGTTAACTTCCTTTTCGAGTCGACTAAACAACTCTTTTTTTATGATATCTTCGGCTCCACGGCTATACATACTGGGCACAATTTGAGAGGTCTCGAGATTTTTTTCATAATATTGATAGTGACGGGAAGAACAAATCGTGCGCCTGATGGTAAGCTACACGGATGTTCATAACAGTTACAGTGTCCTCAGAACCCTAAATCGCAAAGATCTGAGGGGCACTGCCACTCGCGCGTCATCTGAGTCTTAAGTTGACAAGTCCCATGTGCCTGTAATTTCACCAGCACCCTTACCTTTCAAAACCGGAACACAATAATGCTGACATTACTGTTTGGCGGCAGACGAACAAATTCTTTCACAAGGAAATCTACGACTACTAAAGATGGATTTTGGAAAAAGTTAGGAAACAATTTTCTGACTTTTTCGAAATATTTTATTAGCAGTAGAGCTATTTTGTGAAAGAGTTCATCCAGGGCAGTACTGCCACCTGTTTCTACCGCCAAGCAGTAATGTGAGCATTATTCCGTTTAGGTTTTGAAGTGCTGGTGAAATTATATTCCGATATGAGACTTTTCAATTTGTCTCCGGGTGATGGGCGCAGTTGCAGTGTCCGTAAGATCTTAGCTCGGGGCGGCACTTAACTGTTATGACATGACAGGCACCTGGCACCAGGCGCACGCACGACTTGTTCGTTACTTGATATCTAAAAAAAATCATTTATGGATTCAACTCCCTCATTTGAGCAAGGGTAGATTTGATCGTCTGAAATTAATATTCTATAAACAGTCTCATTTATGATTGTAAGTTAGAAAACTAAATCCATCTGTAAAATCTCACAAAGATTTTGGAATCACTGAAGGAACTGAGCTTTGTGTGTTTTAACTTTACTTGCATAATATTAGTTACATAGTTTTTTTTATTCACATATTTCTTGCAACATGTCGGAAGTAAATAAAAATAACCATACGTTACATAAATCATTAACTTTTATTTATAGATCATAACTAAAGCCTTAATAACAGTAGAGAATAAAATGGACGCCACTCGCCGTCTCAATCAAAAGCTATGTTTTCGAATGAGAAATTGCGATATTTTTAATTGAAACTTACGATGAGAATCAAACAGTTGTCCATTAGTTTACGCTGGCCATTAGAATGGAAAATGTATGTCATCCGTAAACAATGGCATGACGATGTTGAAGTGGCGTAAATTTCATTTTCTCTTGCGTTTCTCACGATTACATTGAGGGAAATTTTTGTGGCGGTTATGTCAACAATAAATTGCAAGCAGGTGTATGAAATTAAGACAGAAAGATGGTGAAGCACTTGTAATACCCAAAAAGACTGAACAAAGACTGACAAACAAAATTTTGATCCTAGTCACATTGGGTGAGAGAACTAATTTTTTCTACTGCAATCACAAACGCTGACGTTATAATTCAATAGCACCTATCTAAAAGTAAATTAAGTAATTCGTGTGTATGGATTAATAAAAGTAAATAAGTACCTACTTAAGATAAACTTGCCTCCAAACTAATTGCGTTTACTACTTTGGGAACTAAACATTCATATAATTACAATCTGGGCTCCAAGTGTCTTTTAAGATAAGTTTAAAGAAATTAACATCCTACACTAGCGCCACAGTACATAATATGAAAATGTAATTTGTGTTAAGAATAATAGTTTTTTTTTAATAGTGACGGACATAACTTTAATACGAGGAATAAAAATAAACTAGCTTATTATAATTATTAACACAAAGATCGAACACTTAGCAAAAAAAAATCTTCGATCCGGCTGGATTCGAACCAATGTCTTCCAGCAAACCGTGCCAAACGCTATGTCAACTAAGCCACGGTACGAAGGAATTTTTTCTAAGTGTTCGATCTTTGTATTAATAATTATAACAAACTAGTGGAGTAATTTCACAAAAATAATTGAATATCATGATGGTCAAACATCGTGACATTCAATAAACTTAAAAATTATAATTACTAAAGTGACATCTCTAGTCAGCTGCTGGTAGCTGTAAAGGTACCTGGCTGAGTGAAGAAATAAATTTCTCACAGATGAATGGTCAATCACGATGTTTAAGACTATAATGAAACAAAAATTGTATACTAAAGGTACACTTAAACAAATTCTGCGTACTTGGATGACAAAAATCCATGGAGACCCGTTTGTTGAGCTCTTGCATCATTGAGTTGTAGAATCCGAAAACTGATATACCTCTTTAAGGGTTTACGGGCATCAGCGAGTAGGGACTTACTTAGGACTGTATGTGTATATATATATATATATATATTATATATATATATATATATATATATATATATGTCTATCTGTCAATAGATAATATCGTATTGTATTGCGGTGTGGCGTGCAGCAGACATGACCAAAATGACGCGTAACGAATTTTAAATATAAAATGAATTTTAAAAAAGCCAATATTTTATTCAACAGCCCTTCTTTATAACGTAATGAAAGTACTATCGGTTTACGGACTCTATATTCTACGTGTAGTTACTTAGGAACGCAGAGCGCTCTTACAATCCTCAGAATACGGAAGATTGCTCTCCCAGCGTGTGTTTAAGTTGCCATTACCTACTATTAGGTCTTCTTTAGCTAGACGTTTTGATCCTTATACACGTACATTAATTTATCATAACAAAGTATGTTCCAGACTTAGTACTAAACACTGCTCAGTCAGAAATGTAAAGGTAAAAATTTAAAGATGGCTCCGTACATTGATATATATTGAAACCTAGCAAATTCTAAGGGGGGTCAGTTGATCACAGTCACTCTTACCACATTCACAATACGCACATGTACACACAGTTATACTAACTACAATATCTTCTCACAAACACATTTGCACATACAAATATTTAAGTATATTAACTTTATTAACTGAGATGGTTAACGAGAAAAAGAAAAAAAAAGATTTTACTGGTACATTGTAAAATAATGTTTAAACATTTTTAATATTAACTACAACATAATACTAAATTAAATTTTCTAACTAAATAAAACACAATGAGTATTCCTGAAGACATTTTCGCCTAAACATGATTTAATTCTCCGTGAATTTGGTTGCCTACGAGACAGGCCATGCCTAGTGTAGGAATTCAAAGTAACACCTTGAGCGAATTTTTTTAATCCGTTTCGCAGCACCGTTATCGATCAACCTGCATTTTTTATGTTTGTGTTTTTTTGTTTTTTTTTAACAAATACATTTATTTTTTTATTTTTTTTACAAAGAATAACCGCTAGAGTTGCTTGTTCATTGTTCTCAAGGGAATCTGCCTTACGAACGAACAGTAGAGTTTATGTGTCGCCCTACTGGGCACGGGTCTCTTTTAAAAATACAACAACTAAATTCTACCAACAATACCTACCTACAAAAATAACACTGTTTGTTACTTCCAATAAAGTATTTAAATTTTACTGAAGTCTTATTGAGTTATTTCAGCATAACATTTGGCTATAAGAAGAAATTGATGACGTAATAAATTGCAACATTAACAGTCATAACAATAAATCGTGTGTCAAACAATTAACGACTAGAAAAATTGCATGAATAACATTGCTTGTTGAGGTCTTTAGTATGCCACTCATGCAGCTTTACGGCCATTAGAAAAGACGCGGTTAGTGCCATGTAAAATGCAATAAATTAATATTAAATATTGACGTATCTGCAAAGTTAACTGAACTTTGATGGGGTAACTGTAACTTAACTTTACGTGATAGATAGAGTTAATATGAGAATATAATCGAAAGTTCCCGGAATATAAGTTAAAAACATTGTATCCGGGTACTTTCAACAGCTTTATTCCTTTTTATGAGTTTTTACAATACAGTTTGTTATAGTAATGCTTATGTTATGCTGTTAATATCTTGGTCATACATGTTTTGGTCACCCAGAACGTTTGACATATTGATTTATACCTGAGCTGATATAAGTAGGTTTAGTATATTTTAAAATAAATTAAGTTTCTTCTTTGTAGATTTAATATCAACGAATAACACGCATGGGAAAATTTAACTCGCCGTCATGAAACTATTGAAAATCAACGTGTGACGTGACACAAGGTAAGCGCGACAAACGACAGTGTAAGCTGTGATTTGTTCTGAGCTGTGTGTGGTGTGTGTGAGGGTATCACATATCGCTCGCGACTTTCCCGTCGCGCTCCGTCGCGCGCGCTGATGAGCGTTTCTTTGATAAATACACACGTTGATCAAATCGCGTCTCTCATGTAGTACGTTACAAAGTAAGTATTTTTATTTATTTTTTAACCTACTTTAAAAAAAGAAGGAGGTTATACGTTCGACTATGTGAATGTTTTCATAGTGGTCCTATTGTCACCAAGTCAGAGTCTGACGAGGGGATCCATGGAAATCGAGGAAAATCCTCAAATTTTAAGGATATGTTCACTGACATTCCGATTTCTCCATGATTTTATAAATTATTTTTATTTGGAAGGTTATAACTCAGGGACCACCGTCCCTGATGCCAACGATGCTGTTCCGGGCTGGTTCCGGCTATCACAAATTAAAAAAATATTTTCCGCGAATAAAAGTCGACTTTTCACTTGACACAATACACGTAATCAACAAATCACCGTCACAATGACAACCACAAAAAAGTATAAAAAGTAGGTTTCTTTTTTTTTCAATGAAAAAGTTACAATTGTTACTAAAAGACTATTTGAAAACAGTTTTTGGGTCCTTTGGTGTTGAGGAATTAATGAAACTACCTTTCTGTAATTGAAGACCAAATAGTGGTAGGTCAATTTTTAGAGGACACACAATCCATATCCAAAAGTTTGCCACTTGAAAGACATACACTACTTGATACCTACTAAGGTAATTTTATTGTTTACGAAATGTCGTGTTATATGGCAGACGGTCAAAACACAGCTGATTGCCTCTCTTATAGTAACCCCAATCACTCGACCATATAACGATTTTGATCTGGAAAATCTGATTTCTTTATGTACACAAAAGTAAACACATTTGAAGTAATAGTTTATTTATTTCATTATATAGACTTAAATTAATACGCTATCATTTTATTTTTTATCATTTCATGCAGCCTCAAGGATATATACGTATAAATGAGTTGAATCACGGTGACTGACTACTGGGCATCAGATGCGTATAGTTTAGTATAGTGGACAAGGGAAGTGTCTATTTGTTTAATTTCTTTATTACATTACATTAAATTAATAATTCTAATTTGAGACGTAACGTAACGGTAAATCAACAAAGTACATTTTGTTACAAAGATACTCTGTGAACTACCTAAGCTTTGTTGGACACACGAACCGAGATGAACAATTTCACACTTCGTCTATATAAACTGTTAGAGCAAATAATGAGCCACGATTCTAAGGTTCTGTGTTCTTTATGTTTATGACATTAGGTAATGTTTTTCTCTGTAGGGCACAGAAGTGTAGCTAAACTTTTGAAAAAGCGGGTACGATCCAATAAAGTTTTATTGACAATCCTTTAGGTAGGTAGAGCAACAGTCGTTTGTTATTAGAACTCAAAAGTCCCACAGTCACTCTGCTATTTGATATAGAACATTGATTAAGATCTATGCAAAGTGCAAAAAAAGAGTGGGACAATACTTCAATATTTAATAATTAATATTAAAATACTTTAAGTACTTATTCTGTGTAATAAAGCATTTTAGCTGGTGATTGTATTCAAGATAATTGATAACAAACAACTGTAGCAATACAAATATTTATAGTTGCCACTTCCTGTCATCCTCTTTATAACAAAATAACGTAATTGTCTATGGTGAATTTCAACTGTTTCAATTGGTTTCTTTAATGTAAGTGAAGGCACCCTTCACGCCCACGCATATAGTAAATAAAATCAACAACTAAAATTCTTAGCATGTTATGATTTTCCGTTAGCACGCAAAAAGCCGTGACTGCTACTGCATTTTGTAATTTCACATTGCAGATAAATAGAGTGTTTCCCCTCTCGAGGCTGAATATTTTTCTGTATGCGTAATTGCATGACATGATATTCATTTGCATACGCAAGTGGACGCACTATTTAGGTAAGTAGGTAATATGCTAATTAGCTGTTCTGAACGAAATGGCGACTTAAGATTAATACGAAGAGCCTTTTTGTATATGATTGAAAAGTAACAAGGTTTATGCTGTATGATTTATTTAATCAAGTCAAAATATCAAACGATTTCTGATTCTGCCAATGTATTCTAAACATCCGTTACGTATTCTTTCGAAGCTCTATTCAACACCAACTAAATTCTACCAAAATGTAACACAATTTATTGCTGTAATTTTTGCATAATACAAAAATGATAAATGCTACATCAACGTTTTACTATAATCTAAATTAATTTACAAATATAAACATCTACTACTATTGTATGATAAAACATGCACGGGTTTATCAATACCATAGATTCCAGAATAAGCACAAAAGTAGCACTTTAATTGTAACAAATAGTAAAGAATTTTATTATTACCCCATGTCATCGCCGATCTAGAACTATCATATAACTTAAGCTTATTCTTGCTTCGTCAATTTAGCAAAAATTCATTTTTTGTTTTTAGCTAACTCAAATTATTGCACCTTCAATCAATCACTACAAAATAGTAAATTACAAACGTAGAACATAATATATTATGACATTTACACATTGACAACCATCGCAACCGTAACAATTTTAGAGGTGACAGAGCAACGATCTATTACGGATCGATTACGGATTATGGAATACGGATTGCGATTTAAGAAAATTACAATAACTTATGCAATTTTTATATTATATTATATTAATTTTTGTATTATCCAATTTTTTAAAATCATAGTCAATAGGTAGGCAAAGTATATATGTTAAATGGTAATTAGGTACTTAAGACGTATTTTTAGTTTTTTTGAACATCGCTACATTCCTTCCAGTTTATACAAAGCATTACAAAATAATACGAATTTGTGACTTGTAATACATATCTATCCAGATATAGATTTAAAGTAACAATGGATATCCACGGTCAGTCGTGCAGATGGGGTAATGGTGCATACTCGTAACTCGCAATTTGTAGTTAACCAGCGATCAGTAAGATCTCTAACAAAATACCGCTAACGGTACTAAATTTAGACGTCGGAAAGCATTCTACTTATCGATCTATTGCAACAGTTATTTACATTGTCTAACTATTACAAGAATGTCCTATACAAATTTTCTTAACAGCCTCTATCTACTCTTTGCTCTAAAAATTTCAATTATAAGAAGAATTTGAGGGCTTACGTAGATTGTGTGATCTATTCTTTATAACAGAAATAAAGTTATTAGGTATAATCTCTTTAAAAATCTACGTGAGCCCTACTAGAATTGAAGCAATTGACTTTTATTAGTACATACCAATAACAACAACCTCTTTATTTACAATCCCAGTCTTATCCGAACCTTGTGAAACGTCATAAGGTCTACCTATTAAGGCTCATTTCATTTCGGCTGGGTAACCAATTAAGGGACTAAAGTTCACACGTATACTTGACAGGTTACCACCTTACTACAGCCCTAGAATGGCAAATTACAAGTTAGCTTTGATAATAGCTAATACACAACACATCCGTGGCTTTACAGAAGCTTGGAAAGATCTCATTATTACACATACTTAATGCATTCAATAGTTGAGTTTGTGCCAGAAAGAGCACTATAATCATCATTTCTCGCGAAGTAAAATATGCAAAGCATGTTTGATTTCCGCAACTTTAGTATATATTCCGAACAATATGTTTGGCGGTTTGTGCCTTTTCTTATTGCCCTAGTAAATTAGGAAAGTATTCTATATTTCATCACTGCAGCAAACATGGGTGAAACAAGTCTACTAAGTAGTGTCCTTAATGCACCTAGGTGAATTTAGCCCAGGTGAACTAAGTCACAACACCGACTAGCGTGACTGACGACATCATAATTTGACTGCCATATCAACACATTATTTCCTTGGTTTATAAAACCAATCGTGGATGTTTGTTTCTATGGGAGGGCCACGCTTTTGGCGGTCAAGCAACAGTAAGCCAAAGCCCGACCGAAGATTTATATTAATTTTATTTCGATATTTATTTACCTTTATGTTCTCAAATATTTTTCTCGTGTCAATTATTTGTGTACGAGTGTGTCTAGGTAATTAGGAAACCAGATTACACCTTCGGGTGGTGTAGTCGGTCTTCGTCGTCGCTGTGTTCCTCCTGAAGCAGCAGGCTGTCAGGTGGTCGCGCGGAAAGCGGCGCACGTGCACCTCCCGCGCGTCGCGACCCTCCACGACTAAACATGCGTGAGAGTTGCGCGAATTTCTTACGGGATACTATAACAATACAAGTTATTTAAGTTTTGTATACAATACAATCTAACACACTTGTCTTCCAAGTTGTAAAATTCGAAAAACGTGTAAACACCATACGTGGTCCACTGAACCCCAATGTAATGTATAGTGTTACTTTTTAAAAGTGTATATTTGAACAAAACCCCTGTACTGTATACTTATATCAAAGTTACCAGCATTTATTGGGAGCATGATACGGCTTTTCGTTTGCTGTATTGGGTATTATTGTAATGAATTTACATCACAATAATACCCAAGTTTCTTAAGTAGTTACAGATATGTCCTTCACAATGTATTTAAAAATTATGACTAATAATTGTCGCAAATGTTTGTTAAAATGCTCGCTATTATGCTCTATTTGCGGCTATTGTGCGGTGGAGGGCAATCTCATTTGAATGCGATTGGGAAGCATTCCGACGCTCCCTGCTCATTAACTAATAGCGAATTACGCGCCACCCACACTAGCGGCCTTGGGGTCAGCTCATCGACATCATTACCTAATCATCCATCATAACCTAGGTTATGATGGCGATGGGTCAGCTATACTCTATGTCTATAAACCTCCTGCTAGCAAGGGGCATAAACCACGCATAAACTTGCTCTAAGATGTTAATTAATCATTACACACTATCAATTGTGTACTAAATATTCAATATAATATACTCTATAGCGTTTAAGCATGTTCACCCTTAAACTCTAAATTTACGACATATTTTACGATAATGATGTGAGGTACTCACGTTTGCCCATATTTTTCAGTCTTTCTTTAAAAGCCGCTTCGTCGTCGTGAGTTTTAGTTTTTTGTCCCTGTTCGCTATCCAATGCAGCCATGAACTCTTGGTTCCACCTTAGTTCAGCCATGAATTCTTCATTTTGTAATAAAGTAGCGATGCGGTCGTCGTCCATATCCAAACTGAGATCTATTCTAGCGTCGGTCCCTGGTGGGATGCGCAGGAACATCGGCGGTAGAGGACCAAGCATTCGCGGAACCCACTTTTTTCGTATTGCTAGAGGAATTGATTCATCATCGACATCTCTGAAAATCAACTCTACTTTAAGTATTGATTCTTTTTTGAGCGAATCTATACATGTATTTGCGAGTAGCGGATACGACTTTACGTATGTACACAAGAAGGTAAATGTACCTTTTGAGGTCGGAACAAAATTAGATACCGAGCTGTTTGTCCATACCTACTATTCAACATATAGTATAAACCATGTTTTATTTCGGAAGTAATATTATATTGCACATATTTCAAAAAACTGTATTACTTAAAAGTAACGAAATGAAAATCGTATTTGTTCTTCACAAGTTGTAGTATTATATTAGTTTCGTATGAGAGAGCTACAGGTGACTGTTACACGAGTTGTAAAAAACTATCCGATTTTTCTGCGTGTATACGCTAGGAAGCAATAATAAAGCTTTTAACCCTTAGAAACTCGTTTAGTAACCATAACAATAAAATCAAAGAGAAACTTCGCTGTATACTGAGGTACCACTTAGTAGTGGTCCCATTTGAAGAAAATATGCCACCTCTAAGGGTTGCAAACTAGGGAATGAATCCGGTTTCACTGTCTTTCCGGTAACTGATTGCAATAAAACTTGGCAAATAGATGTAATACCACGAATTTTTTAGGTCGGTTTTTTATGGGCGGTAATGTAGAGTGTTTCTTTAAGATCTAATAACTTGAGGCTATGGAAAAGATTTGAGACAACTCCTGTTATGGGCTACAGGGACAACATATTTATTATTATCATTAGTATAATCTACGTGGATATTTAATTGACAATGTCTTGATCATAATAGTGTGCTAATATGTTACCAGTTAAGGAAAAATAGAAAAAAAATGATTTTTATTATTCCTATTTATAAACATTTTATGGCCCGGTAAATTCATATATCGACGACGGTGAAAGTGTAATAATAAGAAGCAGTACTCTACTTAATATATACATACATAAGTAAGATAAAATAAAAGTAATTTACAACTTCCACATCATTCGTATACACGTGTGAAGCTTTACACGTGCGTATGAGTTAATTAGAAGAGAATAGTTATCATTATCAATTAAGATATGCGTGCAAATTGGTACGTCCTGTAAATGAGACAGACCCAACACATTTAGGAAGTCATATTAATCTGTGGATTTTAATTGATCATAATATGAGTGTGTGAGCGTATAATCAATGTAGAAGTATTTTTACAAACTTTTTGTAGAGTTTTTTGAGGTTATTTCAGTCTCAAAATTAAAAAAAATACTTCTCCGAATTTTGCTAACATAAAACAACCGAATGAATAATGATTACAAGTAATGTACATACTCCACTTCACAAACTGTAGATATTAAACATTTCAGGTAAATTTCTGAGTGTGGTTCTTAACGTTACAAATCAAGATGATACTATTTCCATGCCATTCTTTGAGATCAATTTCTTTGAGTGAGGATTTTGTGTCTTTTCTCTTGTTTCCTTGAAGTGCCATTTTTGAGATTGGGATTCTATTTTGTCACAATTTTTTTTCAATATGAACCATGTTCACAGTCGTAGCCGCTTGTTCGTGTGAGAGGTAAGCATTCTGGTTCTATTTTTATACTATTTTTAGGGTGCTAAAACCTTAGTGGTTAACAGGAATCGATCAAGAAAAAAATGTGAAATAATAGAAACAGATACATAGAACATATAGAAATCCCAAACACATGTTTAAGAAAAACATTCATTTAAAATTCGAAACTGCACACGTTGTCCTCGCACTTGGCCGTCTATTATTTAATACCTATTTATTTATTTATTTTATTTATTTCTATAAACTTTAAAAATATTACATACAATGTGTCTTTACACCCCTATAGTTTGGTTCAGTAAAATTTAAAGTGAGGATTCAGGATACACCAACCTAAAATATATTATTATATCAGTATTGTTTTCTTCTTGTTCTGCTCACGTTACACGTGACTATACGGTTACTATAACAAAATTTTAAGTAAGTAAGTGTAACTTAAATTCAAAGCTTACACAAGAGCAGTGGTGTCAGTATCCTCTCCATTTTCTTGCCGGCCTGATCGCTTGTCTTTGCGGTGTGACGGAGTGCAACTTTCGACTCGCTCCATCTCCAGCCGCAACCGCTCATTCTGGTTGTCAGTGCTCATCGCTAGTAACTGGTCGATAGTAGCGTCAACGGCACCCTGGTTCGCGCGGAGTACCGCCTCAATTACATCGTCGTCCATGTCCGGGAACATCGTCTTGAAGTCCGTCATTGCCTGGGTGAATTCCAACTGCATTGTTGATGCCATCTTGCCGGTGCCGGTTAACACCGTAAGACGTCACAAGCGCGCTCTTTTAGCCGGCTCAGCTGGTACATGACGCAGAACTACCGCAGTGCCGAAAACAGTCGACACAGTGCGGGCATCGGCCATCCTCGCGGCGTACTGCACGACGCCGCCGATCCACCTCGCCTTGTGCACTTACTACTCTTATTAGCGTTCTACTTACAGCTGTAGTCCTGTGAGTACGCAGCACGGACTGTTAGCATGATGTGCAATTTTCACTTTCGGCTTCCCTTTGCGCATGCGCTCAGTAGGTGCAGGCGGTGGGGCGGGTGTGAAACGTTGTCGATATAAATAGAGAACGCACGTCGACTAGCTGCGGACCGCGACCCTTGCAGGTCTGCGGGTGGGTGATACACGCGCATGTGCACACTATTATTCGTAAATTGCGCACAGGATTGACGCTATTACCTTTTTAAGAAGGTACGTTTTTGGCGTACAATGCTTTATTGCAACAAAATTTGAATGTAAACAGTGCACGGCAAGATATAATAGACCCGCTCACATTACATCGTCATACTAACAGTTCTGTTGAGAAGGGAAAACCCAATGAACATTAGTCACCAAGTAAAAGTGCTACACGTGCGTAGAATCAATGTTTATGATACGGCCCCGCGTTGGCGCCATGCGGGAAGCTGGCGCCCGCCTGTCTGTCTGATAAACTAATTACTAAACTGGATTGAACAGTTCATTCAGAATAGTTCATTGCTAATAACGGCTATACAAAAGAGGAGTGTAACATAAACACATAATACGTTTAAAGTGGTACAATTTATTTCAAATTTGACATCTTACATAGTCAATAATTTAGTATTTATTAATACACACCGATTTACCAATAGTGCTTTTAACATTAAACGATGCTAACTACATACAACTATTATTACAATAAATACAAGACCAGTAATTCTTTAATTTTGAAGCTACATAAAATCCACGCGAAAATAATACACCCCCTAAATTATTCAAAGAGCTGCATAAACAACCCTAGATTGCTGTTTTCAATTTTTCAGACTAATTTACAACATATAACGTTAAAATTCTACTGAATAAATTTCCACAAAATATAAGTAACTTAAAAATATGCTAAACAAATAGTGGAAATGCTTTTCAAACAAAATAGGTACAAATTAGGGTTGACCTCCACTTGCCAGCGTGAATTAACACCATCTATCAACTTTTAACACGCTTGATGCGAAAACGACCACTACGCTCCATGTAAAATATACGCTTAGTATAGATGCAGTAGTAAGGCGTGCTTACAAGTGGTTAACTAAAATACATATATTTGTAAAAACTAATTCGATTTTTTGTACAATCATTTTAGGCCATCGCGAAACTACTTACAAAGTTCTTAATTACACTTTAGCAAAGCGGTCAAGCAAATTCTAATACACTCAATGTACTAATTTCTCAGTGATGTTTATAATTATTGTATATTTTTTATTTAAATGAAATTGATTATTCGTTGGTAATTCTGTTAATTTAATTCAAATACTGATACGACGCACTACGATGTCAAAGAACCTATTTATCTTATAATTCTGATTACATCTGCA